CTCAAATTATAATAGATAAAAAACATTTTTTTAGGTATCTTTCTAAACCTTTAATTACCTTCTATAAAACTTGTTCAAGTGAATTTTTGACTAAAAATAATCCTTCAATCCGTAGATGAATCTACAATCATTCTGTCCGTTGATTCTGAATATCCTCCCTGGTCATTGAATTGTACTTCTAATCCTGTGGAAGAGAGAAAGCAAAGAGAGTGAATCGATTAACCAGTCACACAAATATATTACATCGTACTTTTGGATTCCAACCCTAATTCATCATTGCATCATCCTAGAACCCATTTCTACACCCTGGCTTTTGACTTTCACTCCTGATCACGTTGGGGGACAAAATGTTGAGATTCCAAACTTCAGAACTATTTCAACTATGCTAATGATTAGTTTTAAAAAAAAATTCGAATTTATGTATGCTCTGTATTGTTGCAATAATATGTTGTCACTGCAGATTGCAACATGAATACAAGGCGAATTTATTGAAACTAATTGTAAGTTACTTCTCATCTGAATCTAGAAAACTACCAGCAGCACTCAAATTAGAATAGCGTTGTTAGCATTCTGTTCGACTAGTCAACACTTTATTTGAGAGAACTTTATAAAATTTTCAATCATACTAATAACTGATTTTATAAATAGATTCGAATTTATGTTGGCTCTGTAATGTGTCAATAACTTTTGTCGCATACAGTTTGCAATATGAATACATAGCGAATTTAATGAAATCATTTTATTAGCAAAAATATTGATAAATCTCATTCACATATTTACAGGTAATAACTAAATATGCTTGTCCTTTGTTACAGTTTTAAAAAAATTTTCCTTAACATAATAATTTAAAAAAATTTTAGATATTCAACTTTGCTTGTAAGAGATGGATTAAAAGGCTAATTCTTTTTGAGGCAGATGTCACCATTACACTTCTCTTCATCAAGGAAAATGAAAGGCAGCAAACTCTACATTTACAAGCAAAGCGGACAATTTGAAGGGACACTTACCTTATAAATGTCAATGAATGTCATCAAAATGACACCCAGTGCTGAGTTCTGAGGTGTCAGGATGACCAGTCTTCTTTAAATTGTGTGTGATTGTGTTTGTGTAACCTTTTGTCCAAAACTTCCTGTAGATGTTGTCAAAATGACACCCAGTGCTGAGTCCTGAGGTGTCAGGATGACCAGTCTTCTTTAAATTGTGTGTGAGTGTGTTTGTGTAACCTTTTGTCCAAAACTTCCTGTAGATGTTGTCAAAATGACACCCAGTGCTGAGTCCTGAGGTGTCAGGATGACCAGTCTTCTTTAAATTGTGTGTGAGTGTGTTTGTGTAACCTTTTGTCCAAAACTTCCTGTAGATGTTGTCAAAATGACACCCAGTGCTGAGTCCTGAGGTGTCAGGATGACCAGTCTTCTTTAAAATGTAAGTGAGTGTGTTTGTGTAACCTTTTGTCCAAAACTTCCTGTAGATGTTGTCAAAATGACACCCAGTGCTGAGTCCTGAGGTGTCAGGATGACCAGTCTTCTTTAAAATGTAAGTGAGTGTGTTTGTGTAACCTTTTGTCCAAAACTTCCTGTAGATGTTGTCAAAATGACACCCAGTGCTGAGTCCTGAGGTGTCAGGATGACCAGTCTTCTTTAAATTGTGTGTGAGTGTGTTTGTGTAACCTTTTGTCCAAAACTTCCTGTAGATGTTGTCAAAATGACACCCAGTGCTGAGTCCTGAGGTGTCAGGATGACCAGTCTTCTTTAAATTGTGTGTGAGTGTGTTTGTGTAACCTTTTGTCCAAAACTTCCTGTAGATGTTGTCAAAATGACACCCAGTGCTGAGTCCTGAGGTGTCAGGATGACCAGTCTTCTTTAAAATGTAAGTGAGTGTGTTTGTGTAACCTTTTATCCAAAACTTCCTGTAGATGCCGTCGCCGAGCAGTAAAAAAAGCTTAAGTTATATTTTTATTTTCAGACTTTATTATATTTGTTGTATTCTCACTTTTATGTTCAATATAATATTTTAATATTATATGTTCAAAAAAAAGTTGGGAGAATGTCCTATCTTCATTTTAGAGGTCATTAAAATATTAAATTTATGTTTATTTAAAGCTTTTTGAAAAATGAAAAAAATAATATAATAAGAATAATATAATTTTAATATTTATTGTCAATATTTTTTATTATTTGAAGTTATTTTACAAATAATAATTATATTATAATCATATGATAATTTTTTACAATATAATTATAAAAAATAAATTATCATTAACGTGAATTATTCATAAAGCCATTAAATCTGTACATTTGATTGCCAAGTGCATCATTTCGACGATAAAAATTAGACAAATAATTTTGTGCAAGATTAGTCGGAAATGAAATGTAACAAAAATCTCTGAAGTTTTGATTTTGGAAATTGTTGAATCTTGTTGCGTTATAAAATTGAGGATTAAATGAAGGATTAAAATTATTATAATTTTGATTTCGATAATGTTGAAATTTGTTGATGCGTTTTCGATTGATGTATCGATATCGTTGTCTCTGCTGACGTCGCCTTCTTGTCCTAAGGAAAATACATTTTTATAGTATTTTTATATTATATATATATATATATATATATATATATATATATATATATATATATATATATATATATATATATATATATATATATATATATATATATATATATATATATATATATATGAGGCATTCCATGTCAAGTGATCCAGGTGTCTTACGGTGTAATGCTTATTTCGATAATTTTTTACTCTTAAACTATTAAACATAACAATTTGGCAAGGTACATTTTGGAAAGGTTTTTTCATGCTCTTTCGATTGAAAATAAGCATTTAAAAAAAAAATTTTTTTTTGACCCAAAAAAATCAAAATTAAAAATAAATTTTAATTTTTTGGAAAAAAGGTCCCATTTTTTTTTTTTTTTTTTTTTTTTTAAACGAAAGCTGAGGTTTTTTCCTAAAAGGACATATAAATGAAAAAGTGGGACAAGAATGTTTAAACATTGAAAAACAGAGGTTTCTACTCTCTAAACCCGGTTTTTAGCTCTGTTTACGAGAAAATTCATTTTTTCAATGTTTAAACATTCTTGTCCCACTTTTTCATTTATATGTTCTTTTAGGAAAAAACCTCAGCTTTCGTTTAAAAAAAAAAAAAAAATGGGACCTTTTTTCCAAAAAATTAAAATTTATTTTTAATTTTGATTTTTTTGGGTCAAAAAAAAATTTTTTTTTTAATGCTTATTTTCAATCGAAAGAGCATGAAAAAACCTTTCCAAAATGTACCTTGCCAAATTTTTATGTTTAATAGTTAAAGAGTAAAAAATTATCGAAATAAGCATTGTACTGAAAAACCCAAAAATTTAACCCCCTTCCTCTCGGAAAATATTGGACTAGGTAAAAAAATATTTTCACGAAAAATTACTATCTATTAGTACCACAAAAGCCCCAAGTTTTGCTACGATTGGAGAAAAATTTTTCTCCACCTGGATCACTTGACATGGAATGCCTCATATATATAAATTGTTTTTATTAGATCGCAATAAAATTTATATATAAATTTAACTTTTAATTAAAAAAGAAAATTGAAAAAAAATTTTTAAATATTAAATATAAAAAGAAAATTTTTAAATTAATTAAAAAAAATTTTTTTTTAAATCAATTAAAAAAATGTTATTAAAAAGTATTATTTTCATAGTAAAGTTTATGATATTCTTAATAAATTAGTAAAATATAATTTGAATATAGTATAATTTTTTATACAAATAATATTATTTGCCAGAAATTATAATATAAAATAATATAAAAAGATAAATAATAACATGTTAATGTTTCTGTAAAAAGAAAATTTTTAAATTAATTAAAAATTTTTTTTTTAAATTAAGGGGTTATGCCACTCTAGGATTTTAAAAAAATCGATTTTTATTTTTTTGCATTAAATAGTCCCTTAGGGTATCAGAAATAACATATCGTAGTATTACGGCTAGGGAAAATCTCTAAGTAATTTATTATCGTAGTTTCGTATTTTCGTAGCGGCGAGGTCCTTTTGTTAGCGCGCTACGGGAGGTGATCTTTAAAGGATCTAGAGCAGGTATAAGGCTACTTTTCTGTCTAAACTATAGTCTATTCTACACAATTTGGCTTCACAAATAGTATGCAAGCGTCTGCTTCAGTCAGTTAGGCATAGTCAAGCATGTGAAGAGCATATTAACTTTAAACTTTAAACGCGATTATCTGAAAACTACATTTTTCGAGTTGGCCGCACTAACAACTCGTGCAATTTTCAACCAATTAAGTTCAAACTTCACAAACATCTTTGAAAATATATTTTTTAAGGCATCACGTAGGATTTTTTTTTATTTTGTATTGTTCATTTGTTATTAACAATTTACTGACGATTTTTTGGTAGAATTTAGAAAGGTTAACTTTAGAAGTGCGCCATTTGACCATGGATCAATATATCGAAAAAATCCTACGTGTTGCTTTAGCTATTGTAATGTACAATAAATAAAAAATTATATACTCAAGATATTTTAAAATTTACGGGAACAGTTGGTGCGGCCACGGACCATATGCGCCACAGAGATGTCGACGGAAAACCCCAACAGCGTCGCCATTTTTCATTAAATTATTATGAAAATTTATATTTTTAAACTTTAAAAGATGTTCAATAAACTCCTCATATTTCAATTTTAATTGACTTTATAAATTCTCTGCAAAAAATTCACAAAAAATGCCTATTTTTTCGGTTTCTAGAGTGGCATAACCCCTTAATTAAAAAAATTTCATTAAAAAAATTTTATTAAAAAGTACCTATTATTTTCATAGTAAAGTTTATGATATTCTTAATAAATTAGTAAAATATAATTTGAATTTAGTATAATCTTTTATACAAATAATATTATTTGCCAGAAATTATAATATAAAATAATATAAAAAGATAAATAATAAGAGGTTAATGTTTCTATATATTGAAATATTCGTATTTACCTCTCACTTCCTCTATTTAAATTTTCATCAATTCTATTTTCATTTAATTCATCTCTTTCTCTAGCCCTTCTTTCATTCTCTTCTTGATTGTTCCTGTCATCAGTAACTTTCTCTTCCTCATAATTTCGTCCCAATAGTTTGAAGAGAAATTTAAAAACTGTAAAAATAATAAATTTTAAAAACAGTAATAAAAAATAATATAATAATAAATATTAAAAACAATAATAATAAATAAAATAATAATAAATATTATACATATTAAATAAAATTAAAAATAAACTTACACATCTTGATGACGTACTAAACAAGATTAAAGAAATGAAAAATCTGACAGATACGAGGTGAATTTAACAACAAAATAATAATTTGTACATAACAACTATTAATTTTTTTTAAATTGAAAAATATTATTTTATTATTAACTAGCCAAATTATACGCGCGCTAAAGCGCGCGTGCATGGGGTATTTCATTTTTATATTTACTTAAGTTAAATTTAATAAATATAATAAATTTTTATCCTATTTACTAGATTTAGATATTTTAATTGAATTTAATTAATTATTACAATTTACATTAACAGTATTAACAGTATGTTAATAATCTTTATTTACTAAACTAAAAATTTTAAAAGGTAAAAATTATTTTTAAAAACTTCATTTTTGGTTTGAAATAAGTTTATTTATTTAATAATGAATCGAACAATGCTGTGAAATAATAATAATTAATATTTTAATTAAGGAAGATTTCGACTATATCAGCAATTAGTGACATCTATTAGACGTCAATTGAACTCTTTGGTTTAGAGTCAGGTGTTATTCTTAAGATAATTATTCCGATATGGTTGTCGGTAAATAATTATATTTTTGAATTTTAATTTTTGATCTGAAAAAATAAGCTGCGTGAACGACTGCACTGTGCATCTGTGAGGACTCGAACCCCAGTTAATAGCTGCCTTTCGCGGGACTAACGCCTACCAATGCACCATGCCAACACAGCCTGGACGTTCACGTTTCTTATAATCTCAGATCAAGCCCATACACTAGTCGAAGAGCTGTATAGTTAATGTAGGAAATTATTTGCTGATTAAGAATTTTAATTAAGGAAGATTTCGACTATGTCAGCAATTAGTGACATCTATTAAACGTCAATTGAACTCTTTGGTTTAGAGTCAGGTGTTATTCTTAAGATAATTATTCCGATATGGTTGTCGGTAAATAATTATATTTTTGAATTTTAATTTTTGATCTGAAAAAATAAGCTGCGTGAACAACTGCACTGTGCATCTGTGATCTGTTATCTGTGCATCTTAATCAGCAAATAATTTCCTACATTAACTATACAGCTCTTCGACAAGTGTATGGGCTTGATCTGAGATTATAAGAAACGTGAACGTCCAGGCTGTGTTGGCATGATGCATTGGTAGGCGTTAGTCCCGCGAAAGGCAGCTATTAACTGGGGTTCGAGTCCTCACAGATGCACAGTGCAGTCGTTCACGCAGCTTATTTTTTCAGATCAAAAATTAAAATTCAAAAATATAATTATTTACCGACAACCATATCGGAATAATTATCTTAAGAATAACACCTGACTCTAAACCAAAGAGTTCAATTGACGTCTAATAGATGTCACTAATTTCTGATATAGTCGAAATCTTCCTTAATTAAAATTCTTAATCAGCAAATAATTTCCTACATTAATAATTAATATTAATTAAGCTTTAAACTGCTTTGAAATTAAACGTGAACTAATTATTCAATTTTCTTCTTTTTGCTTTCATTTTCAATATCTTCCTTAGATTTCTTTTCAATGCGTTTAATTCCATTCGCTAAGTCCCGCTTGTTCATTTTAGGACTGTCAATTTTTTTGATATATTTAAATGATTCCGTTGATAGGTGGACCCGTATCTGAAATTCAAAAATTTAATTTTATTAAGAGTTTTACAAAAATATATAAATATTTTATTAATAATTCAATCTCAAAACCGTAGAAATGTTAGCGTAAAAGGAAAACCACTCTGATATAATAATTTATGAAATAAACAATTTTAAAATTATATAATAAAAAAATTACCTTAAGGGTATTTGAATCATTATTATGACGTCACATTTTCAAAATACATGCTTTGAATAAATTGTGACGCCATAATGGTTCAAATATTCTTAATAAAAACAAATTTTATATAAAATATATCATTATAAAATTATACAAAATTAAATTTAGATAATACGTATAATTTAAAAATTACCTCCAAAACTCATGTGCCCTATTACTTCTACTTTGTCACCTTTGTTGAAGTTAATTGGCAAAATGGGTGTCATGGTGTCCAAAACTCTTATTTCTAGTTTGAAAACACCATCCGTGATCGAAGCACAAATGAACTTTGGAGTAGTTGTTGGGTTGGAAGATGGTTTGAAAATTGGTTCTCAAATGGCCAGTAGTTTCTAAAACAAATAAATAAAATGACAATTAGTATTAGCAAATGACTTAAATTAGTAAATTATTATATATTTAGTTATTTATAATTATTATTTATAATAATATAAATATTTTATTTTATAAAAATGAAACTTCTTACTAATTAATGTTGAATTATTTGATTTTCCAAGGCTCTCTAAACTCCAAGTTTCAGCTTCAATTTTTTCGGAATCCATATTTTCCTCGCGAATGCCCAAAACATTTAATTTCGTATTTGATTGAATTGACAATTCGAATCCGACATTTCCTTCATTGCTGTAGTTCGTGAGACATCTCGCTGATGCTGCATCCACATGAAGAATCTTTAAAAAATAAATTTAAATTTATATTAAAAATTATTAATTTTAATTTAATTAATTTATTTAATTAATAAAAGTGTAAATAAAACAGAAAATATATAATTTTTTTTAAATAATGAATAAATATTTTTCTAATGAAAAATTACTTACAAAATTTGGTCGAATAAATCCTTTCACACGATCTATTTGTTCGTTCCAAATTTTGACCAAAATTTTGGATCCACTCGAATTGTTCAAGATGCATTTTTGCAGCATTTGTTTTCCTGCTGGTTGAGGAGATGTTAAAGATTCTACGTATGCAATCAATTCGCTGAAATATTAAAATCAAATATATACGTTAATAATTTTTTAATTACATTTATATATTATTAATTTTGTTATTAATTATTAATACAATATATTAAAAAAATTTTATTTAATATTATGTAATAGATAAATTTATTATACTTACACTGTAGGATCATTAACGGAAACTTCTTTTAACATTTCATTAGTAGTGTATTCTAACATATGCTTTTCGAAATATTCTGCTCCTTCCAACATGATTTTTTCTTATTATCTTCTTATTTTTTCAAACGCGAATGAATATAACAAATTAGTGAATATGAAAATAGATGAAACAAAAGTTTCTTTTTCTCTTATTTTCTTGTCTTATAAAACTGTTTAGCGTTTCTATGGAAAGGTTATTTTTTTAAACAAAAGACAAGCATTTATAAACATGTTCAGTTTAGCCGCGAAATTCAAAAATTATAACGAAGAAATCAAGATAATAGACAGGGTGACCACATGTCAGTACATTAATAAATTTCAATTTATACACAATATTTAATTGCAACAAACAAAGAGATTCGAAATTTAATTTTAAGCTTGTTTAATGACTTTCATTATTTTTACCAAATCATTCAAATTCATTTTTTTTTCATCCATCCGAGTAATTGAATTCAAATTTTCGACCTTTAAATAAACCATCTTTTCTCTGCCTGAAAAAAAGAATAATTATTAATATTTTTGTATTTTTATAAAATAAATTAATGAATTTATTTTTGAAGTTAAATAATTAATAATAGGGTAATGTCACCTTGAGTGGACCGCCTAAGCTTTTTTTCGAAAAAATTCTTTATGAAAGCAAATTAATCGGAGGTTTCTATTCCATGCTTTAGTTTAGATCCCTAGGTAAGTGTTTACACTATAATAGCTTTGTTTTATTTTTATTTGGAAAAAACCTTTGACTTTCAAAAAATAGCTAATTTTTTAAGAATGAAAAAAATGTAACCTTGAGTGGACCACTCCTAAAAAATTGTAAAAGTTATTATATTTTCTTTAATTAATTTAATATTTCTGATATATTAAAACAAAATTTATACTTATGCAGCTTCAGACCATGATTGTGTCGCAATGTTTACAAGTGAAACCACTTTTAATAATTTTGACACATATCACATCAATATCACAAAAAAATTAATAAAGAACATAAAACATAGTTTCAAACCAATTTATTGACAATTTATTTCCTTAAAAATGGTAAACTGACATTAAAAATTTAAAAAACAGGAAGTCCTCTCATGGTTATAAACAGTGGTCCACTCATAGTCAAATACAACTTTTTATAGCAGCCACCACAATTTTTTTTGAGTCAAAATTATTACTTAATTAAACTAAGACAATCAATTTCAATGTCCAAAGTAGTAGGAAAAAAATAAGTTACCTTTTAAAACTTAAATTTTACACTACTTTTACACTTCTGAATCACTTTACTCATTGTAAGAGCGACTTCTTTTTTGGTTTGTATTCTTAAAAATGCGTTACATCAAACAATACCGTACATGTTTATCGCGGAACTTAATTTCTTACGGTTTCTAGGTGCGGTGCTGCTATTCGTTTTATTTATTTTATGTTTCCGCTGTCAGATAACTTAAAAGCTCAGGTGGTCCACTCAAAGTGGCGGTCCACTCAATGTGACATTACCCTATATATTCAGGGTGGCCACATGTCAGTATAGTCAGTAAAGTCAGGGAAATGTCAGGAAAAAAATTTTTTGTCAGTAAAGTCAGGGAAATGTCAGGAAAAATTTTTTTGTCAGGGCAATCAAAGAAGAAAGGAAATGTCAGGAAAAAAAAATTTTTGTCAGTAAAGTCTGGGAAATGTCAGGGAAATTGATAAAGTCAATCTTGCGGCCACCCTGATATTATATAAAACCATGAATCGTAGATGAAATATAATATTTTATAATAATCATAATAAATAATAAATATAAATAAACAATTATAATTTTAAAAATATATACTGAAATAAAATATACTTACTAGTAAATTTTAAAAATCCCTTTACTTCGACGTGATCACCTTTATCAAACATTTCGACATCATCAGTGAAGTTCTGAATTCTAACCACTAATTTGAATCGTCCATCTGTGATGGATCCAGTACCGTAGTTTATCAACTCCTCTTTCATCCAATATCTCAGCAATCGGAAGCCTGACTTGACGAATCCTTGGATTTCTGAAAATTAAAATCGAATATTTTTTTTATTTTATTAAAAATATATTATAATATATTTTTTTAATATAATTTTTATATTCAATGAAAAGAAAAGTTTGTATGAAAATATTATTATTATTATTATTATATAAATAAATAAAATATTATATAATATATATATACTATATTATTATAAAACTTACTTATACGACCATGAGCCGTTTTTAAATCTCCGAAAGTGATTAGTAATGATTCCGAAACTGTTGGAACTGCAATGTTGGTTTGTTTCTTCAACAGTGTAATAATAGTATTTTTTCTTATGATCAGTTGATATTTCAAATTCCCCTCGTTGTATTTTCTCGCGATTGATGCGACTTCAGCTCCCTCGATACATAAAACCTTATTATAAAAAGAAATATTTATTTATTAACTATATATTTATTATTTTTCAGGGTTGCCACAGGTCAGGGAAATTAAGGAAATTATATCAAAAGTTAAGTTAAATAAAATTTTTTGCAGGACTTCAATTACTTTCAATATAATTTCAATGAAAATTCTCGAAATATTATTTATAAATAAAGATTTTCATCAATAAAAAAATTTTTTCTCAAAGAATTCATTATATCTTTTAATACAATTTTCATAAAATTGATCGTAAGAATTCAATTATTCTCGTGAGCAAAAAAATTTTCAACAAGAATTTAATTATTGTCAAATGTCAATACAATTTTGATTATTGTCATAAATAAAAAGATTAGTTTTTCCGGGAATTTAAATATTTTTATTACATTTTTTAGAAAATTTATTGAAATAATTTAATTAATTTTATAAATAAATTTTTTCTCAAAGAATTAAATTTATTTAGGTAATTATTAATAATTTCAATGAAAATTCTCGAAATATTATTTATAAATAAAGATTTTCATAAATAAAAAAAATTTTTTCTCAAAGAATTCAATTTCTTTTAATACAATTTTCATAAAATTGATCGTAAGAATTCAATTATTCTCGTGATCAAAAAAATTTTCGACAAGAATTTAATTATTGTCAATACAATTTTGATTGTTATAAATAAAAAGAATAGTTTTTCCGGGAATTTAAATATTTTTATTACATTTTTTAGAAAATTTATTGAAATAATTTAATTACTTTTATAAATAAAACTTTTCTCAAGGAATTAAATTTATTTAGGTACTTATTAATAATTTCAATGAAAATTCTCGAAATATTATTTATAAATAAAGATTTTCATAAATAAAAAACATTCTTTCTCAAAGAATTCAATTTCTTTTAATACAATTTTCATAAAATTGATCGTAAGAATTCAATTATTCTCGTGATCAAAAACATTTTCGACAAGAATTTAATTATTGTCAATACAATTTTGATTGTCATAAATAAAAAGAATAGTTTTTCCGGGAATTTAAATATTTTTATTACATTTTTTAGAAAATTTATTGAAATAATTTAATTACTTTTATAAATAAAATTTTTCTCATGGAATTAAATTTATTTAGGTAATTATTATTATTATTTAGGTAAAATTTAAATAAAATTTCTGGAAAGAATTCAAATATTTTTATTAAAATTTTTTGCAAGAGTTCAATTACTTTAAAAGCAATTTCAGTAAAAATTCTTGAATGGATTATTTTTAAATTAAATAAAATTGACAGTAATATTTGGTTTTAAAAATTATCATTTTTATAATATTTTGTGGCAGCTCTATTATAAATTTTTTTTATAAAAATATAAATAAGTTATAAACTTACAAGATTTAATTGTAGATCAGGTTCGATCCTTTGCACCTCGTCGTTCCATGCTGTCACATGGCACACCGATCCTTGTCCATTACTCAAAGTAAAGGCCATTACTTTGTACTGATCGTTATTTCCTCGTGTCTGAAATGCAATAATTTTTGCCACGAATCCGGTCACTTCTCTAAAAAAATCAAATTAATAAATTCATTTATTATTATTATTATTATAATTATATTATTATATTATTATATTACCATTATTCTTTACTATATTATTATATTTTATTTAATTATTTAAATTAATAAATTAAAATGATGAAAAATTATAAAACAAATGGTACTTACGAACTGCAATCTTTAATTTTAATGGCTGCGAATCCTTCATTTGTGGTGTAAAATATTTCATTATCTTCTTTCTCCACATCTTTTTTCTTATCAGATCCTTCGCCATTCTTTTCACTTAATTTTTCGTCTTCAATAGTTTTTTTGTCTCTTTTAGTTTTTTCGTCTCCATTAGTATTTTTTTCGCTTTCTCTAAATTTTTTTCGAACATTTTTTTCAGCATGCTGTCCTCCATATCGTAGTCTTCTTTCTCATCCGCCATTACTTCTAACACTTCATCATCAGAATAGTTTTCACTTTCTTCAACTTTCTTATCACTCATGATGAATTTTTTCTCTTTCCTTGCTTCTTTTCGATGACCCGTTTCAAACAGTTTCAAATACGACGAATACAACTTTTCGGTTTGCACAGATTTGCAATGTAAAAAACAATTGAAATGAGAACATATTTTTTGCTAAAAAAACAAAAGATTTAAGGGGAGGAAAATATATATAAATGTATATACATATAGATAAGTAAGTTGTTCAAAAATTATTTTTTGAATAATAATTTTTTTAATTAAAACTTAGAAATATCAAATTAAAATTATTTTGAATAATTGAATTTTTGTAAAATTTAATTAAATATAATTAATTTTTTATAAATTTTCTATTAAAATTTTTAAAAATCAACTTTCGCAAAATTTCAATTGCAAATTTTGAAAATGGTCGTATTTTCAGAAATTTTAATGAAAATTTTTTTGTGCAGATTTGAAAATGAAAATTAATAAAAATTAGTATTTAAAATTTTTGAAAAAATAATTTTTAGAATCTCTTTCATTTGAATTGTTTAAAAATCAATTTTTTCAATATTTTAAATTACATATTTCCAAATATTCAAATACATTATAAAAAACAATTATATTAAAATTTTGTTATTATTACTATTTTTAACATTTTGTAGAAAACGATCATGTTCAAAATTTTGGGGTGGTAGCGATTCTACGCAAATAAAC